TTAACGGGCTTTTTTTTCACCATCTGCAAGATTTTACTAAATATATCAATAACTTACAACATATAAACCCGTTACTTGATTCCTTCTTCCTCGTAAGTCTCAAGAAAACGAGTGGCTGGTGAAACCAGCTGTAGCAGCGGCAGCACCTGCCACAGCTGCAGCACCTGCCACAGCTGCAGCATCTGCCACAGCTGCAGCATCTGCCACAGCTGCAGCAGCTGCCACAGCTGCAGCATCTGCCACAGCTGCAGCATCTGCCACAGCTGCAGCATCTGCCACAGCTGAAGCACCTGCCACAGCTGCAGCATCTGCCACAGCTGCAGCACCTGCCACAGCTGCAGCAGCTGCCACAGCTGCAGCATCTGCCACAGCTGCAGCATCTGCCACAGCTGCAGCATCTGCTACAGCTGCAGCATCTGCCACAGCTGCAGCATCTGCCACAGCTGCAGCACCTGCCACAGCTGCAGCACCTGCCACAGCTGCTGCAGCTGCCACAGCTGTGCATGTGTATTCAGGTGCAAGAAAATTAAAACTAAACCTACTTCCTTGCCCCGTTACCATCCCCCATTCCTCCTCTCTATTTGTTTTACTCTTCTTCTATTGCTTCTCTTTTCTTCCCCTATGCTTCATTCTCTCAACTCACTTCTATTTTTTGCTGTCACTCCGTGAAATTTTTCCGTTTATTCTCTGCCCGCTTGCTTACTTCGTTTTATCTCTTGTTCTCTCTCTATTTCTCTACATAACATTTCTCTTCCAACTACGCTTCTCACTCTCTACTCTTTTTCTCTCTCGCACAATCACTCTTTCACCTCATGCTTCTCTCGGCCACTCACTCACCAAACTATTACACTTACTCCTTCACCACAATATTATATATAGTATTATATAATAACATTAATATTATGTTTAGGGAAATCACTCACCACAATATTGTACTCACTAAACACGCAGCTACTCGCCCGGGGTTGTACTCACCTGAAAAATAAAAAAATAGCGTTTATTCTTATTCACGATTCAATATAACTGATATATTTCATTAATATATAACTCGTCTACAAACCCGCCACTCGTGTATGTAGTATCCTTCTGTCTGTCTGTCCGTCCGTCCGTGACCTCAAGTTTTCGTCGATGAGAAAATGCGCTCTTTGTCACTCGCTGCAGTGAGTACTGAGTTATATTTTTTAAACATATGCAGCCTATTGTCGGCAGGAACATTATTTCATATGTAGGTGCAAGCCAAAATCCCTTCAATGGGGATTAGGGTCCCAAAATTCTGTCATTTCGTTTCACGTTATGAATGGCCAAACTGCAGCATTTAACGTGTCTATCGGTGAACCAAAACAGATTCCTTTCAGCTGCTCTGTTACACCAGGCAGCTGCCTGGTGTCAAGAAGCTAAGTTGACATGAGTAATGAGCCTGCCGAGCTACAGAATAATCATGTTCAGCTGGAAAATATGTTCAGCAGGGAATGTCCGCATCATTGTTATGTTCAGCTGGGAATGTCCGCATCGTTGTTATGTTCAGCTGGGAATGTCCGCATCATTGTTATGTTCAGCTGGGAATGTTCGCATCATTGTCATGTTCAGCTGGGAATGTCCGCATCCTTGTTATGTTCACTTGGGAATGCCCGCATCATTGTTATGTTCAGCAATGAATGTCTGCATGGTTGTTATGTTCAGCTGAGAATGTCTGCATTATTATCATGTTCGGCTATGAATGTCTGCATGGTTGTCATGCTTGGCTAGGAAAGTCTGCTTAATGGGATAATTTTTGCATTGAAAGTCTGCCTAATTGTTCTTTGTGGCTCGAAAAATCTTTCGATTATCATTACTGGCATAAAAACACACAATCACTAAAAAAAAGGAGCACGGTGCTGGGTAAGTGAGACACTTTGCAGGTGTTATGCCCTCGTATCTTCTCACCACTGAACGTATTTCTGCAGTCATGAAACGAAAGATTCTTTATCCACCATATTAGTAACAATTAAAGCAACACGTCCTAATACTCTTTTGCTTCTAGTCTAACATCAACACGAACACTTACGAATTTTCATTCTCTCACGTTCTTCTCAAGAGCGTGAAATTCTGGGATCGGTTCTACACATGTTAGGTTTTTTTTTTTGCTCGAACGAAACTTTCGGGCGTGGTTGTAAAGGAAAGATTAGGTTTTATGTCGTTTTATTTTTTATGCATAGCTGCTTGTTCATTAATTACCGTTTCTGAATACCTTGTAGCGAGAGGCAGAGGAATTTTTGGCCAACACAAACAAAACCACCACGCAATGAATAAGAAAAATTAAAAACTATTGCACGCACGTGCAATTATAGACATAAGCGGCAGCACAACACAAATATAACTGATAGCAATGGAAAAATATTCAAAACAAATTTATTGAAGTCACACAAACAACTCTGAATTGATAACGAAGATAAATTAAAACAACACAACGATAACGAATCCATATATTATGTCAATGAAACTACATACAATGATAGAACGACATATCTCGCTGGTGACAATATGTACGGCGATAGCGACAATAAATGCACGCTGGTAATGACATAAATGATGCAAGTGACAACATATGTTGAGCTAGCGAAAACATATGGTAAGATGTCGGTAAAATGACGAAGAGATAAGAGTAAGATAATGGTAATGGACAACAGAAAATACTAGTAAAATAACAGGGATATAGCAGTGTAATAAACATTGAGATAACTGTCAGATAATAGTTAAAAATCGTAAAACTAGAGGAAGACAACTAGACGTAAAACTAGATGGTTGTATGATAACAAGCCGGTTGTAAGATAACAGGATGGTTGTATGATAACAAGCTGGTTGTAAGATAACAAGATGGTTGTAAGATAACATTAAGTTGAATGTAAGACAACAGTAAGATGACAGTAAGATAACAGTAAGATAGCAGTAAAATAACAGTAAGATAACAGAAAGATAACGATATGATAACAATAAGATAACAGTAAGATAACATTGAGATAACAGTAAGATAACATTAGAATAACAGTACGATAACAGTAAGATAACATTAAGATAACATTAAGATAACAGTAAGATAACAGTAAGATAACAATAAGATAACAATAAGATAACAATAAGATAAACAGTAATATTACAGTAAATAACAGCGAAATACCAGTAAGATAACATTAAAATAAACATTAATACAACAACGAGATAACAACAAGATAAGAGCGAGATAAGAGCCGGGCACCTGTGAGCCTGAGGACGCGGTGGCGCAGCGGGCGCCGCTGGGGCGACCCCACGAGCGCCCGCACGCGGGGGCTGAGCCCCGACCCTGTGGGGGGGAGGGGTGGAGGAGCGAATAAGAGGGAAATTAGGGGACGGGAAAACGAGGAAAAGGAAGAGGGAATGTAAAAAAGTGGAAAAAAGGAAAGGTAGAAAAAAGAACAAGGAGAGAGTAATGAAACAATCGAAAGGGGGAGAGAAATTAAATTGCAGAAAAATAATCGTTAGGAGCGAAACAGAATTCAGAAGGAAATGCATAAAAAGAGGAGAAAAAAACGGCTGAAGTTGGAAATTAATGAGAAAAGCGAATAAGAATATGGAAGGAAGGAGATGATGACGAAGAGCAGAGTAGTAATAGAAGGGGTAGTTGGGACGAAAGGATAGCAGAGAAGCGGCATTAGAAACCCAAATTCCTCAATCAACCAAGTGAATACAATTAATGCACGCCAAAATTCAAGTCCCAGTCATCGATTCTTTTTACAAAATTAAATATTTACAGTAAATTATATTTGTCATCATTCTAATCCTACTGGACTTTTAGATTCTTTGTTTAGCAACTAAATCGATTTGTATTTAATCAGCGTACGGAAAACGGTGTTACGTCTATTCAACAAGGCTTATGTTGATTAAACGTTGTTTCAACGCCATCAACTTACAATCAAGATAGTTTAAATTTCATTTCCCTGTATAAATGGTATGTCTGCACTCAAAAAAAAAAACGCTCCAAATGTCCTCAACGTATGCCAAACGTATGCCAGACGTTTGCATCAGACGTTTGCATCAGACGTTTGCACCAGACGTTCGCACCAGAAGTTTGTACCAGACGTTTGCACCAGACGTTTGCTTCAGACGTTTGCACCAGACGTTTGCATCAGAAGTTTGCATCAGACGTTTGCACCAGACGTTTGCATCAGACGTTTGCACCAGACGTTTGCACCAGACGTTTGCACCAGACGTTTGCATCAGACGTTTGCACCAGACCAGACGCATTAGCGATGTTTTTCCTCGCACTGTACCGACTATATTCTTCAGAGACTGCGAGTCAATATGGCCGACAAAAACAATGTTCTCACAGAGATAAAAGCGACGAACAATAACAAAAGCAAGCAACGGTTCTCAACAAGATGGCAATCACAAACATCATATCATCGTTCAATTGCAAGCAGAATTTGTAATTGAAGACGAAGTGAACAACCGGTTGAACTGAAGACATTATTTGCATAAGGAAAGACCGTAGTTTCGCGTAGGTAATTGAACCTTGTACCCTCAAAGAAAAAAGCGAGGATTTGTCCAAAATAGCGATGCACTTTTCGCCCTAGCGTGGGTCATCATAACAAGGTTTGCCCGGCAAAAAAGGCGTTGCAGTGTGGCTCGCTGCTCGCGCTGTGGGTGAGAAAGTGTGTAAATATTTGGAAAATATAACGCACTTATTTTGTTGAGTGCGTGTTACAAGCAAGTGCAACATCACCTCTATTTAATTAACTGTAAAGTAGCCGTGCGCTCGAGATTTGTTATTCGTTGCGTTGGAAACTTTGTTACGTTATTCGTTGTTATTTAAAGCAAATATAACGTTACAGTAATTCTTATTTGATAATACTTGTACAATTTCTGAATAAGATAAAAGTCAAAAAAATGGCATGAGTTGATTATTAATAGCCATGCAGAGAATTGCACGCCATTCGTGAGCCTCGTTCGTACGCACCACGTTCAATGTGAGTTTCGCCCACATTCAGGCATCAAAAACACATTCCTTATTTCCTAAATTTACATCTTTTCCGAAATTACAATATTCTATGCGACCGCCTTTCCGCCATCATAGCAGACAAGTGGCATTTAATTTATGTAAACAATTGCAACGTAACCCGCGCTGTAGATGTCTTGGATTAAACGTAATTCTATTGTTAGGTTTAGGCTTCTATTAAATAAATGTGTTATCAATTTAGAATTATTAAATTTTAGAATTGTAAAAAGGATTTTAGAGAGTATTGGAACCGTGGAACCGTGGTCAGAGATTGCGGATAGGAAAGAAGCAGCAGTACGAACGCAGACTTGAATGCAGCGTCACGAGTCTGGTAAAAGCATCTGAGCGAAGTTTGACTGTTGTTTGCTTATAAAGTCTGAAGTGAACATATGCAAAGTTCCTCTGAATGAATATGTCTCAATGTAAAGTAATTTCCTTGCAATAAAGTATTTCGATATGACTGTTTGTTTCACCTGATTGAACCTGCCAATACAACGACAGCGCGAACCATTTCCCCGTAACGTTTGCAAAGCAGCACGACGTAACCCTCACAAAGCAGCACGACGTAACCCTCACAAACCAGCACGACGTAACCCTCACAAAGCAGCACGACGTAACCCTCACAAACCAGCACAACGTAACCCTCACAAACCAGCACGACGTAACCCTCACAAACCAGCACGACGTAACCCTCACAAACCAGCACGACGTAACCCTCACAAACCAGTACGACGTAATCCTCACAAACCCGCACGACGTAACCCTCACAAACACCAGCACGAAGTAACCCTCACAAACCAGTACGACGTAACCTTCACAAACCAGCACGACGTAACCCTCACAAACCAGCGCGACGTAACCCTCACAAACCAGCGCGACGTAACCCTCACAAACCCGCACGACGTAACCCTCACTAACCCGCACGACGTAACCCTCACAAACCAGCGCGACGTAACCCTCACAAAGCAGCACGACGTAACCCTCACTAACCAGCACGACGTAACCTTCACAAAGCAGCACGACGTAACCCTCACAAAGCAGCACGGCGTAACTCTCACAAACCAGTACGACGTAACCCTCACAAAGCAATACGACGTAACCCTCACAAACCAGCACGACGTAACCCTCACAAAGCAATACGACGTAACCCTCACAAACCTGCACGACGTAACCCTCACAAAGCAGCACGACGTAACCCTCACAAACCAGCACGACGTAACCCTCACAATGAAATACGACGTAACCCTCACAAACCAGCACGACGTAACCCTCACAAACCAGTACGACGTAACCCTCACAAACCAGCACGACGTAACCCTCACAAACCAGCACGACGTAACCCTCACAAACCAGCACGACGTAACCCTCACAAACCAGCACGACGTAACCCTCACAAACCAGCACGACGTAACCCCATAAGTTTTTGCATCGTCCACGACGCAGGCGCCGTAATCATTCGCCACGTCTTCAAAACTTCACGCCGCAAAAATTGTGACCAGAAAAGTTTTCTAGCAATTGCACGTAACGAATAAATGATGAAACTTGCAGCATTTAACAAAATGTTTAGGAAAACCCGCAAGATAACAAATCGTGAATTAAATAAGTTTGAAGGAAATAGTGTTGAGTAAACGTTGAACTGAGTGAATTGTATACGTACGGAAATTTCGCGGCTAGAACGACGTCACATAAGGATGTTGAGGAGTAAAGTTTTGCGATTAAGGAACAGGAGTTGACAGAAACTCCATGAGAATTACGTTTGCATAAATAGGAAATGTGAAAAATAAATTCATCATCAAGGGGGAAAAATTATAGAAATGGTGAAAATTTAACGAACGAAAATCATTGAAGACAGACGAACGCGAAAAATTGAGGTCGCGAAGTGGAAGTTTGTTTGGCAAAAAGAATTTTTATGCGCAAAGTTTCATGAAATGAGACGCGCGATGACAGGACAGGAGTTTCAACACATCACAAAAGTTATAGTAATAAATAAATTAAATTATATTTTGAAGTTAGGCAAGTAAGTTTATTGTTACGAAATAAGCAGGAAGCTGTGCAGCGCTGAATTTAAAAGTTTTTGAAGCTAGGATAATTATATGCAACTTTAGAAACATTTGCAGCAGGCGACTCAATTACCTTAATGAGTTCACGTTGTCAGCAATTGCATGTGTTCTAAGTGTCTTCTAGAAGACATGTTTCTCATGGATGATCTGAGTCTCCCAGACGCCCTTTTTAGCGCATTTTCTCATTTATGGAAAAAAGGCGCTATTGTGCTTGCCATGTCCGTCCGTCCTTCTGTCTATCCATCCGTCTGTCTGTCCGTCCGTGGTTTCATGTTTTCGTCGACGAGAAAATGCGCTCTCTGTCACTCACTGCAGTAAGTACTCATTTATATTTTTTTTTACTGGAGGCGCGAGGCTCAAGGGACGTAGCTTTGGACCTCGAATATATGAATGAACTTTCTTGAAAATGTTCATACCATCAAATGTATCGATATTGCACTCGAGGAGGAATTTTCGATCGAGCTCTACAGTAGGTAATTGTGACTGTGCACGAATTGTAAGAGGTAATAGCGATAGTGCAGTCTAGGAGACAGTTGTGATAGTGTACTCTTGAAGATAATTGTGATAGTGTACTCTTGAAGATAATTGTGATAGTGTACCCTTGGAGATAATTGTGATAGTGTACCCTAGGAGATAATTGTGATAGTGTACTCTAGGAGATAATTGTGATAGTGTGAAATAATTGTGATAGTGTACTCTAGGAGATAATTGTGATAGTGTACTCTAGGAGATAATTGTGATTGTGTACTCTAGGAAATAATTGTGAAAGTGTACTCCTGAAGATAATAGTTGATATTGTACTCTAGGAGATAATTGTGATAGTGTACTATAAGAAATAATGGTGATAGTGTACTCCAGGAAATAACTGTGATAGTGTACTCTAGAATACACTTGTTATGTGTACTCTCCGACACTAGTATCTATGGGCCCTAGAGTTGGTCCTCAAGCGGTCTTTTGGCCGCAGCCCTTCCACTGCCACTCCGGCCATCACCTCTACGGCCGGTGGACATTGTACCATCACAAGTCGGTGACCGCATGCTACTCAAATTACAGCTGCTACTAAGCAAATCCTATTTAATTGACAGAAAAAACTCAGGTATACTAAAAAAACTACTCATTGAAACTAATAAACATTGACTTAATCAAGAGATTAAGTGAGTTGATTTGCCAAGTATAAGAGAAGGAGCAGCGGGACTATGGCAGCAGCTGGCACTAAAGAGAGATGTGTGATACCGACGCCTAGACGCTCTAGTCTACTGCACACACAACAATTAGTGGCTCATTTTGACCAAATATTTTGTAAAAATTTTGCCCGCTTTCTCCCCGTATCACTGATACGTCCTTTTGTCAGGCCAAAGTGAGTCAGGATGACACGCACACACGGGCAAAAAGTGCACCGTTATTTGGACAAAGTCTCACACACTCGCTCTGAGTGAGTTGTGCTGTTAAGTAGAGCGCTCTCAACCGCTATTAATGAGAGCTAAGATGTTCGAGACACTTTGATAAGAGTCGAGTTATTCTAGGCTCGTTAATGAGCGTCCAGTTATTTCAGCCCCATTAATAGGTTCCCAGTTATATCAGACCCATTAATGAGGCTTAAGCTAAAGCACATCATTAATAAGGGCCATGTTATTCTAAACCCATTAATGAGTGTTCTGTTATTTGAGACCTTTAAATGGAAGACAAAAATTAGTTCAGCCTCATTAATGGGAGACCAGTCCCGCCTGCAACCGCAGAGTCAGATATTTAAATGTGTCATGTTGTTCAAAAAGTGACACATTTTCTTACAGAGCGGATGCATTAGCACGGGCACGCATTTTTTTCTAGCCAAACTGGCACTTTTTTCTAGCCAAACTGGCACTCTTTTCTAGCCAAACTGGCACTCTTTTCTAGCCAAACTGGCACTTTTTTCTGGCCAAACTGGCACTTTTTTCTAGCCAAACTGGCACTTTTTTCTGGCCAAACTGGCACTTTTTTCTAGCCACACTGGCACTTTTTTCTGGCCACACTGGCACTTTTTTCTAGCCACACTGGCACTTTTTTCTAGCCAAACTGGCACTTTTTTCTAGCCACACTGGCACTTTTTTCTAGCCAAACTGTGTCAGGGAGACCCAAACATGGGCATAAAATGCATCAAATTTGGACACAGTCTCACACATTTCTCCGTGTGTGGGACGCGGCTGTCAGTCTCTGCTAATAGGACAGCAATGAGCCAGGATTGCATGGATGGCGGAGGAGCGATGGCTTTCTGGATTACTATTGGATGGCGGAAGAACTAAACTTGCATGGATTTATTTAGGTCTGAAATTAATGCTATCTCAAAAATCCTACCGTTTTGCTAGGAAAATCTACCTACAAATAACATAATAGTATAAATTGATGAGCTCTAATACCACAACGAAAGAATGTAATTGTTAACAAGAAATTTGTCACAAAAAACGAAAACAGAAATAAAAGACAATAATAGAAAGAAAAGTAACAATAAAATTAATCAAGAAATTGTAAATCAGGAAAAAATTAATAATTAACAAGGAAATTTTAAAAAGAAGGAACAAGTGAGGAGAAAGAGACCAAGCAGCATGGAAGAGACAAGCAACGTTCGCTGAGGAGACAGCAGTTCAAACTTGGCTGCTTTCCAAAAGAGAAAGTCGAGTCGCCTCACTATACATGACTAAACTGCAATCTTTTGAAACTATAATACATTTTATATAGCTTCCAACGTACACAATTACAATATTATTACATTGTTGTAGAGAATTTGCAATACCTTTTGTTACTTTTTCGAAAAAATGGGCACAATCAGTAAAGGAATGTTATTGATGTGATGTAATAGCCTCCTGTTGTTTACGTAAATATATGTACATGAGCATTTTCATTGTGTGAATATAGACCAATATCATGAATTATTAAAAAACTTTAAATAATAAATCCAATATATTACGAAACGGTATGTACATTTACCGAAATGTTCGTTACATTGGGGCAATGTTGTTACAACGTACAGTACTGTACATTGCGTTACAACGTAAACGCCGAAAAAACGTTCAACTGCCCCCCCCCCCCTTATCCCGTGGTTAATTCAGACTAACATGAAATAGGAAAACAAAAGTCATCAGAAAAATTGCTGAAATCGAAGAAACCGTCGTGATGAGTGGAACAATATTCATACATTCAAGTCAACCTGGCATCATTGCTACTTTCATCGCTTCAACCTACAAGTTAAAAGAAGGCATGACAAGAGGTTTTCTCCCATCACAGCAATGCATGTAGAGAAGTTTAAGAAAGGGCAATCGCGTATTTGTATTCAAACTCACACAAACCCATAATGAGACGAATTTCAAATGGACACTCCAATTTCTTAAAAGTTTGAAATCGAGTTTTAAGTTAAAGTACAGTAAAACTGAATGAAAAAATTAAGCTTTTCGACATCTTTATCGCTAAATAAAACTTTTATTTTACAGACAAGACTTTAAATTCAAACTTTTAACACGTGAAAACCTCAAAACAAATGCTCAGAATCCATGAGGTGAGATTTACAGGCTGAAGAGTGGCACGGCAGCAGCAACGTTGAACGTACCTTCTTCCGAGCTCGACTTTTCCTTCTCCATGTTGCACCACGCACCATTCACGACTGGAGAAGCCATGCTGCGAGACGACTTCTGAGAGATCACGCCCCTCTCCCATCTCCTCTCTATAGGTCTAGCACAGTTTTCTTTTGTTTGATATTGACAGAAAATGGGTCATTTCAATGCCGGACTGGCTTGAGGAGACAGAGAGTACACTTGCCTAGTTTTGCTTTTACTGAACATGAAACGAAAATTATTACGCTCTTTTCATAAATATTGGAGATCTGGAACAGTTTTCTACGGCATCTCATTGCTGGATAGAGAATTGCTGGCTGTTTCAATTGGAGACTGATACGTATACGGGCAATTTTGTAGACGTGATCATTTCGCTGTTACTAGCTTCACACAGTGTAAAAAAAAATTCTGAATTTTTCAAGAAATTCTTAGAATTGCCTTCTCGTTAGAAAACGGGGTTACCAAAAAAGCTTCTATTGAGTGCCTGTAGGAAGAGGTAGGAGTCTGGCAGAGTGAGGCGAGCGTCTGGTGATGTCTGGCAGAGTGAGGCGAGCGTCTGGTGATGTCTGGCAGAGTGAGGCGAGCGTCTGGCGAGGTCTGGCAGGGCGAGGCGTACGCGTCTTGTCAGATCTGGCGGGGTGGAGCGAGTGTCTGGCAGAGTGAAGCAAGAGTCTGTCAGGGTGAGGCAAGCGTCTGGCAGGGTGAGGCGAGCGTCTTGTCAGGTCTGGCAGGGTGAGGCGAGCGTCTGGCAGAGTGGAGCAAGAGTCTGGCAGAGTGG